CGCCACCAAAAATGATGGATTACCTACATATTTCTCACGACTCCCTCAATTCGGACATCAAATAAAAGGGCTTGAGTAGTAGAATACTGTTTACTATGACAAAATTTTATATACAAGATGGCCGCCGCCACAAAATGTTGGATTATCTACATTTTTTGTCACGACCCCCTCAATACAGATTTCAAATATAAGGGCTTGAGTAGTAGAATACTATAAACTATGACAAATTTCAAATCCACGATGGCCGCCGCCACAAAATGTTGGATTACCTACATATTTCGTCATGACTCCCTCAATACGGATATCAAATAGAATACTATAGGTACACTATGACAAATTACAAATCCAAGATGGTCGCCATCATGAAAGTGCGAAATTATATAATAGGTACAGACAGTCACATGTCGGGTTATCACAATCTAACACTGAAATAATTATTCAAATCGGACGAGTAGTTCCTGAGATTAGAGCGTTCAAGCAAGCAAGCAAACAAACAAACAAACTCTTCAGCTTTATAATATTAGTATAGAGTAGCCATTGAAAGCGTGAAGTTATTTGAACTTATATGATTATACGGTAAGTTAGATTTAAATCGGTGTAGCAGTTTCAAATTAAGAGGGGGGGGGGAGTAAAAGTGGGGATGACCAATGTTATAGCTATTTTAATAGAATTGAGTCCCATCTTAGAAACTAGATCTGAAATACCGAAGATAAATACCTAATTATATAACTATGAAATACTTGTACGAAAATAGAAAAACTAAAAGAACTAGAAAAAGATTAATTTTCTTGCAAGTTGCAATTCAGCTAATATGGCGAATATATTAGCTGAATTGCAACTTGCAAGAAAATTAATCAAAAATGAAGCAAGCTCTAAAAAAGCAAGAAAAAATAAATAGTTAAATTAAAAATTTAAAAGACCCCCGACACAATATAATAAAAAAATAAAGTAAAATGCTAAAAAAATTAAAAAAACTATAACTTAATTGTCCACAAATAATGCAAAAAAGGGAAAAACGTGAAACCCTTTAAAAAGAAAAAAATAACCTTGACATTATGACCCTACATAATTACAGACAACAGCATGTCAGACTATTTCACTTTGAACTTTGCGCTAATATTGAACTGCAAGTACAATGGCGAACATGGCCGCTCTTTCACCAATTTAAGGCCAATATCGCTTGCGTTTAAACTAACGTAAAAATCTCGCCCGCTTCATTAATGGAACGTCTGTCTCGTTTGTGCACGTTACATTTTTGTTGTCTGTCGCATATTGTTGCGACGTTGCCAGCGCGGACTAGACCGGCCGTTGCTAATTTATGATTTTTCGCGTATTATTAAAGAATGAAAATTCTCGAAGATTCATTTTTTGCATACGCTGCTCTGATGGCCAGTTTTATTACTTTTATAATTATTGAGTAAATGATGGGTTTTATAATAAAAATAATTATATATTATTAACGCAAGATTGATAAAAATGCAATAGAAGTTATTAAGCTTCTTACTTTTTTTTTAGTATATGGTGTCGGGGGTCTTTTAAATTTTTAATTTAAGTATTTTTAATTATGAAGTGTGTCGGTTTATAGTTTCGCGTTCATAAGTACAATTAGTTTGCACGTTTGATCTGCGATTGTTAAGATTAAGCGACTTTTGCAAGGGCCGGTAGTCGGGTGGGTGATCTTTTTTTTATTTTGCTCAGCTGGATGGAGTGGAACAGGCATTTACAAAGATTAAACGACGTTCCTAAAGGCCAGTAATGGGACGGGTGATCAACTTCTTTTATTTGACTGAATGGGGTGGGACGGGCACAGGGTGTGCTTTCTTCTGTTCTTCTATGTGTACCATTAGTACTAACTGTCAAACGCTCTAGCGCTTGATCTGCGATTGCGAAGATTAAGCGACGTTCGCAAAAGCCAATAATGGGATGGGCGATCAATCTTTTTTATTTAGCTGAACTGAAGGGGTGGTGGTGGGACGGAGCGGGGCATGGCGAGTATTTACTCTCTTTTTAACGCATACTTGTTTAATAACGTGTAAAAAAATTTCGTCACCCATCCGATTACTGACCTTTGCAAACGTCGCTTATCCTCTACAATCGCAGATCAAACTTGTTAACTACTTCAACATCAAGTCAATCCACCCAGCATTTCTGACTGGACCCACGTGTGGTGGTGCTAAAGCACAGATATTCTTTATAGATGAAATTATTCCAACCAGCATTCCTCGTTGCATTCAGTACACCAATCAGGATTGGTAGTGTTAAAACACATACGAGGGTCAAACTGAAAGTTCTTAGAAAATCAAAAACTGATTACATTAGCCAGTTATTAGTTTTATTATATCTTTTCAAAATATTGTCCATTCACGTCAATACACCGCTGCATGCGATGGAACCACTGGGAAAAGCACTTTGCCCACTCGTCCTTAGGGGTCTCTTCAATGGCATCGCGATACGCAGCCACCGCTTCTTCAGCATTCATAAACCGCTTTCCTTTAAGTTTTTCTTTAATTTTTGGAAATAAATAAAAATCACAAGGCGCGAGGTCGGGGCTATACGGCGGGTGACCCAGTAATTCAACGTTTGATGTCGCCAAATAGTCGATCGTTCGCTTGGCGGTGTGCGACGAGGCGTTGTCGTGGTGAAGGAGGATCCTACTGCGAGGTCGTTTCTCTCGAACTTTTTCCAAGACAAGTGGCAAACAATTGGTAGTGTACCATTCTGCAGAAACTGTTTTTTGATCCTCTAACACAATTGTTGCAAAATGACCTATCCTTCCAAAGAACGAGGCCACCATTTTTTTTCCCGCACTTCGATCTCTCTTCACTTTAGTTGGCAACTCCTCGAAAGGAAACACCCACTGAGCAGATTGTCTTTTGGTTTTAGGATCATAACAGTAAATCCAGCTTTCGTCACCTGTTAGTATGTCGAACACAGCATTTGAGTCACCTCCGTTAAATCTTTCAATCATTTTACGACACCAATCCACACGATGGAGTTTTTGAGCCTCAGTCAAATTATGAGGTATCCACCGGGCGCAAAGCTTCCTGACCGCTAAATGTTCGTGGAGGATTTTGTGCACTTGACTCATACCGATGCCTAAGCTTGTCCGAATCTGTTGATAGGTCACTCTTTTGTCAGTCTCTATCATACGCCGCACAACACAGATGTTATCTTCAGTCGTCGCCGTAGAAGGCCGTCCCTCACATAAATCATCAGTGAGATTAGTGCGACCACGTTTAAACTCATTAAACCAGTTGTAAACAGTCGCACGAGATGGGGCTTCATCGTGAAAGGCCAATCGTAGTCTATCATAACTTTCTTGTTGACTTAAATGACATCGAAAGTCATAAAAAATCATTGCACGAAAATTTTCTCGTGTTAAATTCATGATGACGTGACACAGACAATTTTCAATTTGCCGCCAAATCGTAAAACAAATGACAAATGAATGAAATATATACTCAGTAATATTGGCAAAGAGTTATATTTTCAAATTTTAGAATTATTTTTTTATTATATTGTTTATAAGTGGCCAGTTCTAAGAACTTTCAGTTTGACCCTCGTATTATTAATCGATGATTTAAATACATCCAGAATTCCGCACAGGGACCACATAAAGGTGCCAGTGCGGATTGGTGGTGCTAAAGCATATATATTTTCAATTAATGATTAATCTACCAAGTAATCCGTACTGGGCACGCGCCCAGTACGGATTACTAGGTCGTCCTAAATCGCTCCACTAAAAAAATTGACCACCCATCCGATTGCCGGCCTTTGCAATCGTCGCTTAACCTCCTCAATCGCAGATCAAATGAGCTACCCGGCACCATCGGGCCTTTTATTTGTTTATATATTGATATTGCCATATTTTTTTGTAAAATTCAATATATTTTGATGATATGGTAAGTTTGCGCAAATTAATCGTTCCTCGATATTATTAAACAGAAAATCAAAAGCAGATCGAGCGTTCTACCGCCTTCATACATTTGAAGCGATACCGCAGACCATGAGATTTGTGACCGATATTGACAGATAGTACAATCTCATGAGCAAACACTCGAGTTTTTCCATACATTTTATAAGTGCGTGCGATTCGTGTGATATCGTTCATCGATATCGATTAACATCGCATCTTGCCATGAGAAAAGAACCTTAGGTTACTTTCCATTTGCATAAAGTCGCGGGCACAACTAGTTTAATATAATTCTAATTTACTACTTTTCAAAACAGGAAACAGTCCATGTTTCCTATGGATGACGAAAATATTTCGAAATCGTCGACGAAGAATGTGGCACGAATATTTTTTAATTAATATTTATATTTTATAGATATATTATCATCGCTATTTATATTAATAGCCTATGATTTGGCTAAACTTGTTTCTTTTAATTTTTGTCCGATCTTAGCAGTCGTGTTTTTAATTTTTAAATAATTATTTATATTTTATTCCTTTTAGTGAGCAGCTAATTTTGAATAGAGATTATATGTTTTTAATGGACCTTTAATTTGATACCCATAAAGTTATGATTATAAAAAAACATACTTTTTTAAATGGTGTCACAAGTCCCCATACCTATTTAATATTAATAAATAAAGCTAGTGTCACTAATACTCTATGTATTTTGTGGTAACTTAGGATGATGTTTCTAATGATACCCTATACATTCATATCCGTTATATCTTTCAAAAGTTATGGTGCAATAAAAAAACTCACATACATTAATTCTAAAAACAATAGACTCCTTTTCGAGAGCAGTCGTGTTAAAATATTCGGGAATCGATAATGAATCTCACCATAGAAATACAAAAAGTATCAAAATAGCTTGGTCGTAGTTTCAACACAGTATTGTGGACTCGTGACCTTGAATAAGATGTCAAGAACTCGGAACGCTTCAAAATACCTAATCTCACAGAGTGAAAATTTGTCATATGGCTCTTAAATCAGACTCATATTTAGCTTTACAGATAAATCAATAAATAAAACAATCCAACATTATTTTATATAATTTATTTGCTTTCACCATCGTACCCTTGGTCGGTACTCGTCACTTATAGCCATTCTTTTAATGCTTTCATACCCTAATATTATACTGAACGAGAAGCAGGCGGATTGCACTAGTCTCGCTGACAATCCTTTCACGTAAAGACCTAGAAGACCTTCCTCTTGCCACAGATCCCTTACCACTTCTCGCATTGTGCTAACTCCTTCTACCTGTATAAAAAAAAGAACATTTTATATAAAAAAAAAACCAAAATGGATATTTATTCTACAAAAACATTTTATATTATAAACAGACACTCCAATCTTATATTATATTTGATCAATTTTGCATGTTGCCAACCATGTAAAAATGCAAGGATTGCCAACCATACAGAAATATATATATATATAGTATTGTTTTATATTCTAGGTCTGCATACTATATACTGTTAGACAAATATATAGTACACAAAAATACTATATTTCCAAAGCTTAAATAAAATTTAATATTAATAATCAATATTAGGAGTTCTTTTATATGAAAAGTTAAATATATAGATAGACAACCTTTATTTTCAAATAACAATATTAAAGATTTTTTTGCAAATGAGGTAGTAAATTAGTTCCCGAAATCGAACTAGATGTCGCTACAGTACTTATTTGATTTCTCCATGACAACTTTTCAGGTTTTCTCTCGTATATAAAAGTAAATTAGTTTTCAAAACTCAATAAACAACTCTTATTCTATTTGTACTCTTTCGTATTTGTATTGATATATAAGTTTCGAACTTTTCAAACTTCAGTTCTTTAATATGTCGAAAGGAAAGGAAATTACTATTTGGTCAATTCGTTCCCTGCAAAAATCAACTTTCGCTAGAGTCGCCATCTAGTGGAGGTGCTTTTATAGTGCTTTTTTTTGAATACTTCCTCATTATAATAAGCATTCAGGTGTCATGTTAATTCGTCCGATTTATTAGTTAACCTGCAGTCTCGCTCGTACTATGTCCAATGGATTAGTCAGTATGGTGGTAGTGAACCCCCCCATTGTACCCGCAACGCACTGGATCAACAGGTGAGACACCCAAGACGGACTCAGCTTCAGCAACTCATCTGTATACAGAAATATTAAATAATTAATTAATTAATTAATTTATCACTACATAGATCATAATATGTATGTAGATGTGTATGTATGTATGTATTGTTTAGTGTATTTATGTATATTTGTATTGAATATATAATAAATATATAGCTTATATATTATTTTTGCTCTACGTAATAATAAATTTGTTTACTTTGTAATGCACCATATGCTACCCATCAATTATTTCAATAAATACAGTCTAACGTACGGTTGCCTGGAAGAAATCGCTTTTTAGCGATAAGGCCGCCGACTGTACTGTAAATGTTTTCTCTTTGTGGTGTACAATAAAGTGTTTATTCATTCATTCATAGTATAAAACAAAGCCGCTTCCTCTGTCCCTATCTTATATATATATATAAAATTTGTGTCACGATGTATGTTGCCAATAAACTCCAAAACTACTGAGCCGATATCAATCAAATTTCACATGTACCCGTATTTTGGTCTAACTTACTGGATAGGGTAGTTATCATCTCAATTATTCACTTATGTCGTGAATGTAAACTAATTAATTGTTTCTTAAGTGTTTATTTAGATAGTTGTCAATTTTAATAAATAAAAATTTAAATAAATGGAAACAATAGGGATGATGACTAATTTTTGTTTGTTTGTCCGTCAGGTAGAGTGTTAAAAAATATTAAACACGTATTTTTTTATTTTTTTCGTAATCATAAAATTACGGCGTTACATTGAGTTGAACACTTTTGCGTTTGCGTTTGTGCGTGCGTTCACCTTTTCATCGCTTAGTACATTCTTACAACGGCTTTTTCAGCGCGGTAGATATTCATAACTTGCGACCAGGATGTTTTAAACGCGAATTGTATAAAGCACTGTCTGACACATAAAGCTATGTAATGAAATTGCCAAATTATTCAATGATTTCATGCTCAATCTCTTCTTAGATAGATCATTGTCAGGTATCACCGTTTGTTACATTTCATATATATTAATTGTGGTGGATGTCATTGGTGGCAAAATTATCAATTTGTTTTGTTATGTCTGCGTGTAATATATATTGTATTTTGTCACTGTTTGTCTTACCCAAATAAATAGAAAAAAAAAATTCGCATGACGTCACGTTATTCGTTATTCGTTACACGTTTTCTATTTAACTGTGACGTAGCGAGCCCCCACTCCTCAACTTTAATGCCTGTTATCTAAGCTATTTCTCGTTAAATTGAAGTAAAAAAAAAATACGTATCTAATATTTTTCTATTATCTAACTGACGGACTAAATAGAATTGCATTTTTTTTACCCAGTCATCATCCCTATTGGTCAATGTTATCTACCTCATTTATAAATTGGAATTTTTAAATATTATCAATTATTTTTTTTTTTGTAAAGAAGTCATTGTTTTTAAAGAATAGTTAGCGATAAGAAAAATAAAATCTACATTTAATAAATTATAGTTTGATAAAACTAAAAAAAAACACGTTTTTAAAACTGATTGAACTAAAAATTTAAAAATAACATTGGAGTAATCAATTGAAAATGTCATATTGTACAAAAAGCGTGGGGGGCTTGATTTTCATTGGTGTATATATTTTAACAATAGTTTAGTATACCATTAGTAATTATAATAAGCACCCCACGCATTATATACAACAATTTAGCTAATTAATTAATTATATATATATATATATATATAAAGAATTATAGCGAATTAGCATTATGTACAAAAAATTACAATTTAGCTAATTCGATTTTATCGGAAGGGTTTTTATTTTCTCAGCTGCGATTCACCAGTCCTTTTACGTCCTCACCGCAGGGGCTCAGGCCTTCCTAATGGATGGAAGGAGGATGGGCCATGACCCTCCATGCTGGCCCGATGCGGATTGGAGGGTATTAACGACTGCAAATGCAGCCGGAACCAACGGCTTAACGTGCCTTCCGAAGCACGGAGTAGCTCGAGATAAGAATTTTTCGGTCACCCATCCCGTGACCGACCCATGCGAAAGTTGCTTAACGACTGCGATCGCGGGCCGCGGCGCTTATGCACTACGCCACCGTGCTACTGTTGCGATTAGAGAAACAAAATATGGCGGTACGAAGTTCGCTGGGTCAGCTAGTATCCGTATGTATGCTTAAATCTTTAAAACTACGCAACGGATTATGATGCGGTTTTTTTTCATAGATAGGGTGATTCAAAAGGTAGGTTTTTATGTATAATACAAGAGCACGCAGACGAAACCGCTGGCGGAAAGCTAGTTTAAATAGTTAAGTTACATCAAAATTATTTATTACTAAGATATGTTAAAAGTGAATATACAAGTTTCTGTTATATGAACCATACATACTAATAGTAGTTTCGGAATCTTTTCGTTGCAAACAAACAGACAAATCTTACATCTTATAATATTAGTAAAGATTTTTGTACGACAAAAATTAATATCCTAAGTTTAAAAAATACAATTTTGTCGCTTTTATAATAATCTATTAAAGAAAATCAGTCTACAAAAACAAATTTTAAATTAAGTCTATCTATTCCAATTATGTAAGCAACATTTATCTTGCCAAAACTAATTCTGCCTAATATTACATAGGTAAAGTTTCTAACGTTGTCTGTTTGTTTGTATAGCTCAATGTTCGGAAATACTCGACTGATTTTAAAAACTTTCACACAATATTATCTGCAGCATAATATGATATAATTTACACAGACAAAATCGCGGGAAATCAGCTAGTAATTATGAACAAATCGAAATGCTAATACGACTCTAAAAAAGCTAATATTACAATCATCTACGATACAAAGCAGGTGGAAGCTGACTGTCGCTAATGGACAGACAACATTCAAGTATATTATTTTAAAAAAGTATTTAAAAAAATTAGTTCCCGAAATCAAACTAGATGTCGCTACGGTACGTTCTTGATTTCTTTCATGTATAAAAGTAAATTAGTTTTCAAAACTCAATAAACAACTCATATTCTATTTGTACTCTTTCGTATTTGTATTGATATATAAGTTTCGAACTTTTCAAATTTCAGTTTTTTAATATGTTAGTATTCGTTTCCTGCAAAAAACAACTCTTGCTAGGGTCGCCATCTAGTGGAGGTGCTTTTTTAGTGCTTTCGCTTTTTTTTTAATACTTCGTCATTATAAGAAACACACGAAATTTTCCAAATTTTCATTCGACGACAAATAGAATACGAGAGTTGACAGTAAACAGAATTAAATACATATTATATTTATAATATTGCTTAAATTAATTAATAAATAACAAATGTTATTTATGCTCTTTATAACGTGACCCCAAACAGCGCGAATTTTATTTCAATCGAACTTAAAATATGACAATCGAACTTATTAATAAAATCAGAAAGTCTGACGCTAGATGGCGTACCCATCGTATGACCGCTATGACTTGCTTCCATTATTATGTTATCATTATAAGACCATAGTTTTTTTATCTCTATTTATAATGTATTGATCTGGTAATGACATGGTTTTTGTAAATGTCATTACTCCTATTAGAGCTGGTGAGTTTCTTGCTCGTTCTTCTTATCAGCCAAAAGACGTCCTGAACGAGCGGTAGGGGATATAATGTTGGACGATTCAAAAGTACTTTTAAGAAGTCTATTTGAATAAAGATTATTTTGACTTTGATTTGATTTTAAGATAAATTAAAAGGAACACACATTGAACTGCGTCAATAATAAAGTATGAAGCACTCTGAAACTAATATCGCTCTATGTGTGCATAAGGTTTTATTAAGAGGGGTGTGATGTAACGCGCTGTTTGACGTCACGTGACAAAAAGCATAATATATTTGTTTCTGTACTTGTTATATTTGTAATATTGCATAGTATAATATATATATTAATGCATTATTATAAATATAAGAATAACAAGTGTGATTGTCGGTATATATGTAACACTAGTAGATATAAAATACTATGTAATAAAAGTAGTGCAGTATTTTTACTTAACCTACTGGTTCTGTGTGCTTTTTTTATTGGTTATGCATTTTCTAGTTTTATGTAGGGTTGGCAACTTACTTGATTATTTTTTTAGTTATTGCTAATCAGTGCGATTCCTTTTCTTACCCAGGGTTGTCTACCTACTCGTTTTTTTATTGGTACTGTATGTTTTCTAGTTTTAACTTACTTCTTTCTTTTATTGATGCTCTGCGCATTTTCCAGTTTTATCCGGGATTTTTATTGTTGCACAGTTCGATTTCTAATTTAACTCAGGGTTGTTAGCCTATTTGTTATTTTTTATTGATGCTCTGTGTATTTCCTACTTTTATCAGGGATTGGCAACTTTTAAGCTACTTGATTTTTTTTATTGCTCAGTGCGATTTCTAGTTTTATCTAGGGCTGGCAATTTACTTATTTTTTTATTGCTACTCAATGCGATTTCTATTTTTACCCAGTGTTGTCTACCTACCCGTTTTTTTTATTGATGCTCTGTGCTTTTTCTTATATTATCCGGGCTAGGCAATTTTTTTTTAATGATGCTCTGTGCATTTTCTAGTTTTATGCCCGATTGGCAAACTATATAATTTTTATTGTGCGCCGTAAGTTTCTAGCCGAGCCCCCCGGGGTTAACGGCTAACATCTCGATGTCACAATTCATGTAAGCGTATAGTGACGTCTGCGCCCCCCCCCCCCCCTTTGCGGGGGGCGGTCACTCCGGTCGAAGGTTCGTTGCCCCTTCAGGGCACGCAACCAACTGTCCAAGGCGGTGTTTAGTCAGTAGGAGTCTGACATAACCTCACAGCCGGCTGTGGGTATCCAATGAAGGATTCACCACCTTCTCCCGTTGGGAGGGTGGTTCCGAACCCTTAAGGTTGAGAGCCGAAAAAAAAATACCGTAAGTTTCCCAGTACAGTGCGTTACCCGTGGTACCGCACCACTGTACCTTGGTAGGCGTGATAGAGCGCCCACCAGAGCGCCGAGTTGGGCACGTACGCGGCGAGCGAGGCCGCGTACCCGCGGTACAGCCCTCGCATGCCGCGCCGCTTGTATACGCGCACCGCAACCTCGCGCGCCAAACCCGCCCTGCCCCACCGCCGGTCCATCTCCAGTTCGAGAGGATTCAGCTTCTATACACACGTACCAATATTAGAAAAAAAAAAATTACTTCGAAAAGCGGCGTCCGTTTAACCTTGAATGAGGTAGTATTTAAAAAAAAAGATCCCGAAATCAAACTAGATGTCGCTATGGTATTTCTCCACGACAACCCTTCCGGTTTTCTTTCGTGTATAAAAGTAAATCAGTTTTCAAAACTCAATAAACGTTTACTCTTTCGTATTTGTATTGATATATAAGTTTGGAACTTTTCAAATTTCAGTTATTAAGTGAGTTAAAAGGAACGAAAATAACTTTGGTCTTTGGTCCATTCGTTTCCTGCAAAAGTCAACTTACGCTAGAGTCGCCATCTAGTGGAGGTGCTTTTTATGTGCTTTCGTTTTTTTTTAAATACTTCCTCATTGGCAATGACATAGGAATAGAATATCTGACACACGTATATTCAATCAATTTGGTTTTGTACTTTATACAAAAAAGAAATATTCGATAGGATTTCTATACTAAATAACGTAAATTCGGGACTGGACTTTTACAGAAGCGCAGGGGTCATCCATAAATTACATCACACGATTTTCATTATATTTTTGCCCCTCCCCCGTCCTAGTCACATCTAGTCACATTTGTAAGACTCTCCTATCCTAGTGTGATGTCACATATTTTGCAAGGTTTTTGTAAAGTAATAGTTTAAAGTTCGTGTTTTAACACTTACATTAAAACAGATTTTGAAATGTGACGTCACGAAATTTAGGACCCTCCCACCCCCTTGTCACACAATGTCACACTTCGTTGACCCCTCCCCCCTCCCCCTTAACGTGTGACGTAATTTATGGATGGCCCCGCAGATCGCCATTTACCGATATAAAAAACCATCTATTATTAATACTTAGTCATTTCCACAACGCTATAAGGTCAAAGCAGATTTTACTCTAACGCAAACGCGATGTAGCTCGATAATATGACAGTTCAACTACGCGGAACGTACAAACATATACCTATTTCATTCGCACGTATACCGACATCCTGTTGTTTCATTCACTCATGACAGGTCAAATTGTTAGAGATCCATAGTATTTAAACGCTTTACATTACGTGTTATATTCTATAGGGTCAATAAAATTGTATAACACAAGCGTCAATGTAAGGGGACGTCCATTAATCACGTGATGTTTTTTTCCCCATCATTTTTACCCCCTCCCCCCCCTTCTTGGTGATATATGGTGTGGTTTAAAACAAAAGAATCTTAATTTTTGACGTCGCTTTCCGGTTTAATATTCGCGCGTCGAGGAAAAAATTAACACACGTGATATATTACTACACCCCCCCATCCCCATTATGATATTTCGTGATTTTTGACGAATCCCTCCCCCCCTTTCGAACCTCACGTGATTGATGGACAGCCCCTAAAACGTTGATAGCTTAAAGATCGCGTCTAAGCATCGCTAAAGTGATTTATTTACTTGCGAGTGAATTCAGCTTTACTCTAAAGCATTGTGGAAAATTTATTTATTTAAGGTACACCAACATACATTTAAAATCATTTTTTAAATACGGAAATAATTGTTCAGGACTTATATGATAGCCCATAATTGATATACACAAGATTATTTAGAATCAGGTTAAGCTACTTAAAAATACAATATCACTACATAGTATAAAACAAAGTCGCTTCCTCTGTCCCTATATCCGTACGTATGCTTAAATATTTAAAACTACGCAACGGATTTTGATGCGGTTTTTTTTCATAGATAGGGTGATTCAAAAGGAAGGTTTTTATGTATAATACAAGACCATAGACAGGTTTAAAATTGTCTCATTCACGGTGGCGGAGATTATAGAGGTCGAAATGTACCGTTACAACATTCATAAAGGTGGTAATGTTAAAAAAAAACTGATATATTGTTTCACCTACACAGAAAATTGAGCTAATCCATTGTTTACTATTCAATGACAAATTGAATGGTAAACAATGGTTACCGTGGTAACGTTTTAATTCCCTATACAAACTTCCAATCTCATTTTTATCATATTAAAGAATTTTAAAAATCCGTCCTGTAGTTTTGGAGTGTTGTATACAAACAATGACATGATTCCTCTTTATAATATTAGTGTAGAGATATATATTCTATATATTTCACTAGACTTTCCGCCAGCGGCCCGCGTGCTCTTGTATTATACATAAAAACCTTCCTTTTGAATCACCCTATCTATGAAAAAAACCGCATCAAAATCCGTTGCGTAGTTTTAAATATTTAAGCATACATACGGATATAGGGACAGAGGAAGCGACTTTGTTTTATGGGGCCATCCATAAATTACGTCACACGTTAGGAGGGGGGGAGGGTCGACGAACTGTGACATTAGAACAAATATTTAGTAGAATTTGTATAGATAAACATCTGACAGAAGGGGGGGGGGGGGGTTAAAAAATCCTTAATTTTGTGTGACGTAATTTATGGACGGCCCCATAAAACAAAGTCGCTTCCTCTGTCCCTATATCCGTATGTATGCTTAAATCTTTAAAACTACGCAACGGATTTTGATGCGGTTTTTTTCATAGATAGGGCGATTCAAAAGGAAGGTTTTTATGTATATATGTAGTATATACTATATTATGTAGTGATATATATAAAAGTAAAAATAAATAAGTAACTCACAGGATTATAGGAGCCTCGCGGTTTTCCCTTGACGAGACCGAGTACCATGAGATGTTGACTCAACACATCGAACGGCACGATCACAGTCTGACCCACCAGTGACGCACACGCCCCACCGATAAACGACTACACAACAAATATGTATTATTTTGTGTAACTTAAAAAAAAAAGAAAAGAAACTGCCTCTATTCTTATGACACGTAAAAGCCTACTTTACGTTTGTATTATTTTGTGTAATTTAAAAAAAAAAGAAAAGAAACTGCCGCTACTCTTATGACACGTAAAAGCCTACTCCACTTTTGTATTATTTTGTGTAACTTAAAAAAATAGAAAAGAAACTGCCTCTATTCTTATGACACGTAAAAGCCTACTCTACTTTTGTATTATTTTGTGTAACTTAAAAAAAAACTGCCTCTATTCTTATGACACGTAAAAGCCTACTCTACTTTTGTATTATTTTGTGTAACTTAAAAAAAAACTGCCTCTATTCTTATGACACGTAAAAGCCTACTTTACGTTTGCATTATTTTGTGTAACTTAAAACAAAAAAAAGAAGAAAAATTGCCTCTATTCTTATGACACGTAAAATCCTATTTTACTTCTGATGCTAATACGCCTGTTGTTATTTGCATTAGCAATTTTCGTAATGGGTGACCGAAAAATTATTATTATTTTTATTAGGCAGAATGGGACTTAAAGTACCCAGATATTTTTTGCATAATAAAGACGGAATGGTGGCTCCACGTCGAAATCAGCGTCTTCTGGTTCGACCAGTAACGCACATCAAACGTGCATTATATGCTCCAACTAACCGCGCGATAACACTCATAGGTGATGTAGTCGCTCGGTACGATTAAATCGACATATTCGCACATAGTTTGGCAGTTCTCATGACTAGTTTTCGGACTATTTTAGATGACATGGACAAATAATTTATAATAAAATGACTTAATAATAAAATTGACATTGAAAATCATAACTTATTAATTTTTTTTTTTTTTTTCTATTATATGTATGAATGTTGTAAAATTTTATGTTGACATTGGAAATCTTAATTCATTAAATACGTATATTCTTTATTTATATGTAATAATTAATGAATTATTGTTGTAATTTTTAATTGACATTGGAAATAATAATTTATTAAATGTATTTTTATTATTTTGACACAATAATAGATTGTCTGACTCACTGTGTATTTGGTATAGATTTTTTTTTATTATTATTAATATTTAATGAATGAACAATGTAAAATTTTGTTTCATAATTTTAACTTGTTGGCATTTTGGATTTTAGTCTGTTGCCTGACAAGTCTTTGTCCCTATAAATAAAATAAATAAATTATTTAGACTCTAGATAAGTATTTTTAGGGGTAACTTTTTTTTATGGGATAGGGGGCAGACGAGCAGACGGATCACCTGATGGTAAGTGATTACCGTCGCCCATGGACACCTGCAACACCGGAGGGGCTACAAGCGCGCTGCCGGCCTTTGAGGGAGGAATATGATTATAGGGAGGGGAGGGTTGGGGGTGGAGGGAAGGGAATAGGGAGGGGTTGGGCCTTCGGTACCCTCTACTCTAGATTAACTCTAGATTAGAGCTTGTGAGATCCTCTTCAACCATCTATAAGGAAGACATTGGCATATTTTGGTCTGCTTCTATCCCAGGACAACTGTTCAGTGATTATTTGGTACCAGTTACTCTACACGTATACAGATATCTTTACAAAGTAACTGTTAATATAGCGATATTTCTAATGTGATTTCAATAGAAAATATACTTTTATATATTGTCTCGTGTCTAGGTGATGGTGGCTTTGTTATCTCAGAGGCTAAACTAGCCATCTTGAAATCTGATCAATGCATGCATTTAGTACAGCCACATGTTATATTAAAACATTCAATTACATCTTCATCTGAATTTAAAAAAAAAAGTCTGATACGACACTATTAAGGGGTACATATTCGCAGCAAATAATTTGAAAACAAATGAATTTATATTAATATAAAATAATTAATTTAATAAATTACATTTGAGTTATTCAAGTATTATAAAAATGATTAATGCTCTGATACCTCATTTGTCTAGTTACTATGAGTAGTTTCGAAGTTATAAGAGAACAGACGAACATTCTTACATACATATGTACATATATTTCGCTTCAAAGTAGTCGGTAATAAAGAAATAAAAACAAATGTGCGGAAAATTATCAAAGTCGTTCTCAAAAAAAAAATGGAAACGAATTCTAATTTAAAAAGGTGAAATAAATTTTTTTTATAAAAAATTTAACCGCCTTTAAGATAAGATTATTTTTCACTTTTTTCAATTTGAAGTGGGTTCCATGTGTTTTTTTGTAAGTTTATATTTCATGCATTTAAGTGATATTTTGAGTTTTGGGGCAACAAACATAACGCATACTTAATGCAAATTTAAGACTTATATGGTTTTCTCATAAAATCCATTGCCAAATCTGGACCAAATTAAAATGGTACCACAAGGCGAGCACTAGCTTTCAAATAAATAAAGAATCATCAAAATCGGTACAGTAGAAGTAACAAACAGAAAAAAAATACAGTCCAAATGAGAACGTCCTCCTTTTTTTAAGTCGGTTAAAAAAAACGGACAATTCTCGATTTCAATTTACTCTTTATAATATTAGTATAGATATTGTGTACCAACCTTTGTTTTAGGGTTTAGGTCGTATCTCCCTAATTCATGTCGGACTCCTTCATATGTAGTTATATAGAAGACGCCAGATATTATCTGAAACTATAGTTTAAAATAACATAAATATCCAATGGAAAAATACTTGACAAGTTTTTAGGGTTCCACACACAAAGGGTAAAAACGGAATAGTTAAGAGTTGAAATTTTCACAAATATGTATTTCTGTGTGTTAACCCTAGCTTAGAATTATCCGTATAAAAAATTCCATCAAAACCAGTTCAGTATTTTTTTGCGTAATGAAGTAACAAACATACATATTTACAAACTTTCGCTTTTATAATATTAACAAGAATATTTGGCAGAATAGTAAACAATGGTATGGCCACTGTACTTCCACTCTCATTTATGCGTCTTCGCAGTTTTTCGGGATATGTTTCTTCACCGTATATGATGTATATTCCCGTAGTGAAAAGAATTTTTAAAATTATTAGCAATCAAACAAACAGTCAAATAATCTATTATACTATTTATTTATTTTTGTTTATTAACAGAGCTTTATTGAACAATGAAATATGGTACAAAAAACGGACTTAGTACTTATAATATTAGTATACATCGTCTACTAAAATTTACTATAACTATTGTGATAGTCAGAAAATGGATATTATGAGAATGCGCCCCTTGTCCGCCATTTTAGGTGATCCGCCATATTGGATTTAAAATGGAGCGATTTAATTTTTATGATTCGTTAGGTCCAGTGGGTGGCGCAGACTTTTTAAACATATTACGTTGAGAATATATTCCAGTATTATATAAATTACTTACACTGGACAACCAGAACCCTCTGTATAATCCGGAGACACCCTCGCTTCTGTATATCTTTGTGATGGCGTCCACAACGCCGCTGTACGCTTCCTTCTTACGTTGTACTTGTATCTGAGTTTTCACTAGAGTCAACGGATATAAAGCGCATCTAACTGAAAATGAAAAACAAGTGAAAAAATTAAACTAAATGGCTTAAGACTTATTATTGAAGAATATTGAACACGTATTTTGTAATTTTTTGCTTAGTCAATAAATATGTACCTACATTTTCTACATAATAGCAACGTGACAAGCCCCACTTCTGAACTTTAACGCCTATTATCTATGCCATTTCTTGTTACATTGATCCAAAAAAAAAAACCTTATCAAATATTTTTCTATTATCCAATCGACGGACTGAATAGAATTTCTTTTTTACCCAGTTACATCCCTATAAAATCCTTTGCCCGTATGGGGGTGGGTTATTCCGAAATATGTACGCCGCCATTTTGTTACGGCGACCATTATGATAGCCCAATTACATATTTATTTTATTGTCTTGTTCATGATTCAGCATGGTGACTGACAGACAGACGGACATACAGTAAGTTTAGTAACAGAGTTTCTGATTTTACTCTCTAGGTATGGAACCCTGATATATTTAGTGCACTAACGTTAATATTGTTTTTTTCTGGTTCTGTACTAGAGAGGGTAAAAAGGGAAGTGTCACCAGGCAGTATCTCTTCAACAGTGAAAGTTACACAATTGAAATTTTCACAGGTGATGTATCTATGTTGCCGCTTCAACAACAGATACTAAAAACCAGAATAAAATAAATATTTAAGAGGGCTCTCATACAACAAATGTTTTTGGTCATTACCAGTACGGAACCCTATGTGATCGGGTCCAATTGCACTTGGTTTTTTATTAATTGTAATCACAAACTTTTTCATAAATCTATTTACATTGAAAAAAATTGGTGTATAACTCACCCGTAAAACTGCTTAGTGTGTATAATGGAAAAAATTTGCTTTTGTCCATCATACCCCACTCAATTGTCGTAATGAGCTGTGGAGGAGGTGATTCCACCATTGTAGCCATCTCAGATGCCTCTTTATCAGCAATATCACTATTATTACTAACCCAAATACTTAGCAGCATATATTTCTCACTATTATATATAATCTTCTCAAAGAACTTTATAAATATATAAATATTTATATACAATCTCTTTGGTAACTGTTGTACACTATGGCTAACATAGATCATAAATACAGCCTTTGACTATAGTTTTAAAAATTCATAATAAATACACATTTATAAATTAATGGAATCAAAATAAACAATAGAATTCACAATTCCAATAAATTCAACAATAATAAAATAAACAACAACGTATTATCTTGTTGAAAATTATTACTATAATTTACTATTACTTTGTCTTATGATATTTTGAAGTTATCCAGATGGGTTTGATTGTGTTTCAATTTATTATATGCAGGTTCCTCCATGATTCCCACTTCTCAAAAATAATTTGATGGTATTTCGTCGATACTGAAAATACAAAATATATAATTATATTTTTTGTTATTATCGATGAAGTGCTTAGATTAAAATACTGTTTATTGTAATAGATGGCAGCCCTAGATGGCAAATGATAATAACGTAGATTTATTATCTCAAGTTTTAACAGAGCATGGCCTACATTTGATTGCACAAATGTCTATTAAGGTTCAAAGACAACTTTAAGCTCTCACCAATTTCTTAATTTGAAAATTTGTATGATGTTTGTGCAACTGGCTGATAAAATTCTAGTTTTCCGCCAGCGACTTCACCTGCATTGACTCAAGGGAACTATCCATACCATAACACAAATATAATTACAATGACAACAACGGTTAATATTAATAATAATGTTTCAATACCCCTTAAAAACTTCCATTCACATTTCAGGATAAAATAAAGCCTACCTACACCTCATGTAGCTTAAGCACTTGTATCGGAATGTATAATCAAGGGCAGCCCAGACCCCTATTACATGATGTGGTTATCGCCAATTCTTTAGAGAAACACATCTTAAGTTGATTTATATTTAGTAACTATTATAAATGTTCAGTCTATGTTTATTACTTTTAGATCGTTTTAGTTATTACACAGGAATCTTTGTATTGAAAAATTTACTTTAATAGCTCTCCGTTAGAAGCTTATGCGGTGGGCAGTACACATGAAAACATGTACCGTACCACAAAGTAGCTTCTATTAGCCATAAGAGATCATTTAGTGGGATAAAAAGTAATTTGCATTTTCATATTAGTTTTATATTAAGTATGTATTTTTTCTTTTTATGAGTGTTATAAATAAGATCATAGGATATGATCATATGTTTATTTGTAAGTAATAGAGTAAATTAACATGTTTCTATTTGTTTATTTTGTTTTAATATTTGGAGGATCTACTTTCGAAGTATTTAGAGGCTCTGAGGCATTTTTGTTTAGTTAATAGTTAATATTTAAATGCACGTTGTTCCCTCTTATGATTATTTTGTATTACTCATGTAAGTGAATATAAATAAATTATTTTTAAGGAATAAATGTTTTGTACCAAAGAAATCTACCCTTGAAATAAGACTTAATTAGATAACAATGTTATACAAATACATGGATGCTACTTACTTATTATTAAAATTAAAATCCATTACATCAATTGTGTCACAGAAAACAGTATCTTGATGCGAATAGCACACGAGGTCGTTTTATGTAACAAATTTAATCGTCTTCAACATGCACCCGAAACTAAAACACAGTTTATCGAGTGGTACATTAGTATTGTCAGCTGACGAAATGTAAACGTCAAGTTTCTTTTTTATTGATAGCGATGGGATCCCGCATATACATTATGAACACAAATAAACTTTAAATAACCTCATTTCAAGTTTATTTGTGAATAAAAAGCTAGAAATGTGATAAAATTTATAATTTGCTTTAGTTTTTATGTTCATTAAAAATATATTTTTAACCAACCTCAAAACTGAAAAAAGAAAATCGTATTTACTAAGGATATTCAATGGAATTATTAACAAAAAAATTTGTTTTAAATTAAACTAGATGTCACTACGGTACTTTATTGATTTCTCCATGACAATCATTCCGGTTTATTCTTTTAATAAAAGTAAATTCAACTCAAATATTATTTTTCGTATTTGTATTGATATCTAAGTTAAAAAGAACGGAAATGACTGTCTTTGGTGCATTCGTTTACTACAAAAATCAACTTTTGCTGCATTGGGATATTGAGATAGTGAGGAAGTACCTCAATATCTCGCTAATTCATTTTTCCACGAACAGCAAAATCAAAAATAAGATTATTACTGAATCACAGACCAATAAAAAATAAATTAAAGACTAATATAATTAAAATTTTGTAGTCTGTGTCTCTTTCGGAAGTGATATGTCATGAGTATTAAGGTAATTACCGTTTGCGCGTCTTTTTTAAATTAATAGATTTTAAATACAAACATGAACGCTTATATTTATTCCATTAATTCTTGATATTAGCAACCATAATTATTAAATCAAAATCTGGTTTAGACAGCGGTCTAGTCTCCTGAGATTTAATTAAACAAAACAATTGACTCTTCATTCATGATTTGACGATTGGTAGTATTAGCGGAAAATAAGGGGGGGATAACACTTGTTTTTCTTTTCTGATGTGTGGCACTCAAAGAGATAGTCTAATTTAAATTAGTATGCAGGAGGATACCGTAGGGTACGTACGAATAGATGAATAAACTACTCTGTCTATATAAAATTTTACGTAGATTGTTTATTCTATTAGGTTGTTCAGTGAAAAACTCGTTTGATATTATGGTGTGTTGTGTTGTGTCGTGTTATGTTGTGTCAAAGAATAACACCATTTCATTTGTACCAGTAGATGTAGGAGACCACAGTATAGAGGTTTGTTAATTTATTACTTAAGTAGATTGCGTTAGTGATCATTTTCAAATTATTAAATAACTACTGTTTCTGTATGATCCATAGAGAACTGTTTATTTAAATATAAATTCATATCACGACATGGATATAATTACAATGAAGTATTGAATAGTAAACTATAGTTACCATTACAACGTTTTACTTCCTAATACAAACTTCCACTCCCATTTTCATCCATTGCTGCTGGGGATCGGAATCGGGGTAAAATATACCTAGCCTATGTTCACCGCATATGATGTTGCTTCCTGTAGATGAAAGAAATTTTAAAATCGGTCCAGTAATTTCGAAGTCTATACGTTGCAAACAAACAAATATAACCACTTTATAATCATCATCATCATCATCATCATCATCATCATCATCAGTCCCCACTGCAGGGGCTCAGACCTTCTTTATGGATGGTTAAGGAGGATGGGCCATGACCCTCCACACTGACTGCAAATGCAGCCGGGACCAACGGCTTAACGTGCCTTATTAGATAATTTTATGTTATGTTATGTATGTATGTATGTATGTATGTATATATGTATGTATGTGTTGTACCTACCTAACTAAGATTCGAATACAAAATCAAATAAAAACATGTATTTTTTTTTATTTTATTAGTTAATTTTATGTTATGTTGTGTTGTGTTGTGTAGTGTAGATAAAGTGTGTGTTTGTGTAAATAATAATCCACGTTTCATCTTGTCCACAGGTCCACCACCGCCACCACCGCCACCACCACGTTGTACCAAGATTCATCACTCCAAAATCATGACTCTTGGGTGATGCATATCCTTCATTGTTTATTGATGATGGGTTCTCAATCAGCCTACCCTCTTCAAGCAATCCTGGTAAGGCTGGTTTAATCTGCTATTACCTTTAGATGATGTAAAATTAAAATGATATGTATCTTCACTTTATGTTGTGTTTTGGAATACCGCTATTCTTCATTAGATTTTTTTTTTTAATTACAGAAATTATATTCACTTGGGAACACAGCTATGCAAGAAAAAGTCATGTTGATCACACATATTATTAGAAAGTGGAACTGAACAGAGGTTTGTTTTTAATTTATTTTATTTAGATAACAAAGTTCATGCTGCACTTTTGGTGTATTTTAATATAGATTTTTGCTTTAAAAAAGTCTAGTAGATCTCTCATTCTTACACACATAAAGAAAAATTACATTAAGTTACTTAACTCTAGCGGTCACGCTAGAAGTGATTTTGATCAGAAAATAAATTGATAATATAAATAACATATTTCTATTTATATCATTTAAGATTATATATATATATCTGTTTTTTAATCTTATACACATAATCAATATTGATATCATAGGTGGTGTAAATTTCAAAGAACAAATTGAGACTCCTGTCTGCTGTCTGCAGCCACTGAGTTTACTCAATTAGTTGCTTGCTCTGGAGATTAAAATATGACATAAACTAAATTATCTGGTAAGACCTGTATCTTTTTATTTAGTGTATCTTTATTTCAATCAGATAGAAGTTCTAATAGAGAAATTCACTGAATACTTTTGATGTTACAGACCCTGTGAAATGTACCCAAACAAAAAAGAAAAGGCTTATTACCAAATAAAGCCAATTGTCACCTTTATACCAGAGAATTCATGAAGAATATAACAAGCCAAAGACTTAGTTGAACTTGAACTTTCATAATAAAGTAAAGAATACTTAAATACCTTTAAGTTTTGTAAAAAGTTATCATTTGAAGAGTTCAATTAACACAGTTGCAAAAAATGTTTGTTTTTGAAATGCAAGTGAGCATTTCAAAAACATATAACAAACTAAAAATAAACATGAGAGGTGAGATTCACTACCGAAGAAAAGATAATTGCTTTATCAATATCAAAGCAGAGTCCAAAGTGTTATTGATTTTTAAGCAAATTTTTTTATTTTATTTATCATCCAAAACTACACTGAATAATATGATTAGAAAATTGATCATAGAACCGGGCTTCATGTAAGAGGTAATGTATGTATATTCCATATAAGGTTTTTCATACTACTTTTATAATTTTTTGTATTACTATCAATTAATAATATGTACCCCTACACCTATTTGAATTTACTTTTTCAGGTGGACAAATGAAACTCCAAAAAAATATACTCCATTATATTTGATGAGATGTCATTAGAAACAGCACTTTTGTATAATAAAAATTTAATAAGGATTAAAGATAACATTAATGGATTTCAAGAAAAGAACATCAAGAAAAGAAAGTGGAATTTGCAGATCATCATACTCTTGTATTTACAATGTTGGTGCTGTTTACAAGTGGCGACAGCCTTTATGTTAGTATTTCTGTCAAGGAGCTACTGTCTGTACTGTACTGTACTGTACTGTACTGTAAACATCAAGAATATTTTAAAGTTAGTAGTAGAAAAAGAAAGTTGTTGAGTCAGATCCAATCAGAACTCAAAAATCTAAAAGAAGACACTGAGTGTGATCAAATTTTAAATTGAAATCACAGGTTGGTACAGAGAATTATATTTATATGAAAGAAAACTAAAAGATTTAATGAAAGCAGTGAAGGTTCTTATTTTTATATATTGTTATCTATTATGTTTTAAGTTCTTAAATTTTTGTTTCATTTGGCATTCTTTAAATATGTGGGGTGGATTTGAACATTATGATAAAACATACACTTGATAAAATGTATCAGGAACAATATTTTAACAAAAAATTTAATATTGGATGGTAAACTTGCAAATGGCATGATATTATTTCTATGTCTATGAGACAGACTGTCAACACACTGAAGCTGGGCTACGTCATAAATTAAATGACCAATGAGTTATACCTGATAAAATTAAAAAGATGAAGGTAATGCATTGATTATATTATATTAGTATACTTAACTTAAACTAGTACATAAATAAAAGAAATAATTTGTATTCAGCTTCTATATCCTCTATCAGAGCGAGTGTTAATTTAATGATCTTTATTTTTAATCATGTAACAAGTAGTTAATATAGTTTACACTTAAATTACAATCGTTCTCTAATGAAGATAATTTTAAATATGATATCTCTTTTTGCAGATAAAAAAAAATTGTGTAAAAATATTGAGCCATTATGTCTGCAGCTTTGTCTTACACTGCAAATTTATGTGAGCATTAGATGAAATTTACTAACAGTTAATAGTTTTGAATCAAATTTCACACAATTATTATATGAATATTTTAAATTGCAGCAATTTATGTGGATGGATGGCAGGCCCGTCGTCAGCACAACATTAAGACTGTTACCAATTATTTGATAGTGTCAATGGAGCATCGTCGATAAACAAAAAAAGCATAAAGGAAAAGAAAAAGCTGTGACAGATAAGACACATCATCATTCTTTCTGGCCGAAGGCAATTGAAATTTTAGAAAAACTTAAATATGTGTATAAAATGGTATGCTAAAATCAGTACCCTCTTTAAAACAAATTGTTCATAAGGTTACAAAAGTTTTACAAAAATTGCCGAGAATGCACTGAGTACTGTAATATTTACATTTTCCTACGTTCATTTATTAGGTACCTAATCATTATTTACCTTTTTTAAATTGTTATTAATATCAGATTATCCGCCCTGCGATTCTGTAAAACTTCAAACCCGATAATTCGAATCCACTCGGGTGTCCGAATTCACTTCACAGTAATAATGTTTCGTGAAATAAGTGAAGTGAGTTTCGAAATGATATAGGATTAAAATATCTAAGACACGTTTAATCAATCAATTTTGTTTAGTATTTTTATACAAAAAATGGAATCAATGTGTGTATGGTAGGTATACTAAATGACGAGAATTCGGACACATGAGTGAAT